GATATTGGAGGACATGTTGCGTGCTTGTGTCATTGATTTCAGAGGGTCATGGGATCAGTTTTTGCCGCTCATAGAGTTTGCTTATAACAACAGCTACCAGTCGAGTATTCAGATGGCTCCATATGAGGCTTTGTATGGGAGGCAGTGTAGATCTCCAGTTAGTTGGTTCGAGCCCGGTGAGGCTAGGATATTGGGGACTGAGTTGGTGCAGGATGCTTTAGAAAAGGTGAAGGTGATTCAGGAGAGGCTTCGTACAACGCAGTCGAGGCAAAAGAGTTATGCGGACAGGTAAGTTCGAGATGTGTCCTACATGGTTGGTAAGAAGGTCCTGCTGAAGGTTTCGCCCATGAAGGATGTTATGAGATTTGGGAAGAAAGGAAAATTGAGTCCGCGGTTCATTGGGCCTTTTGAGGTACTTCGGAGGATTGGGAGATGGCTTATGAGCTTGCTTTGCCACCCAGCTTGTCAAGTGTGCATCCGGTATTTCATGTTTCTATGCTCCGGAAGTATATTGGGGATCCGTCTCATGTTCTGGATTTCAGCACGGTTCAGTTGGATGATGATTTCACGTATGATGTAGAGCCAGTAGCTATTTTGGGTCGTCAGGTTTGGAAGTTGAGGTCAAAGGATATAGCTTCAGTGAAAGTGCAGTGGAGAGGTTGGCCAGTGGATGAGGCTACCTGGGAGACCGAATGAGAGATGCGGAGAAGATATCCCCACCTGTTTGAGGCTTCAGGTACGTTTCTTGACTCGTTCGAGGACGAACGTTTGTTTAAGTCGGGGAGGATGTGATGACCCGGCCAGTCGTCTTATGAGTTACCGCTCTGTTTCCCCCATTTCTGCTTCTTTATGCTTTGTTTATCCGTGTTTGGTGGTATCGGGTTGGTCAGATCGAGTTTGGAAAGGATTTGGCAAGGTTTGAGACACTTAGTCTCTTTAGAGTGAATTTAAGTTGGAAAAGTCAACCGGATGTTGACTTATGTGTTAGAGGGCTGGAATGTGAGTTCTGATGGTTCGGTTAGCTTCGGGAGGTGATTTGTGGCTTAGGAGCGTGATTGGAATGAATTTTGGAGGTTCGTAGTAGATTTAGGCTTGAATTGGTAAAGTTGATATTTTGGCGATTTTCGATTGATAGGTGAGATTTTCATATAGGGGTCGAAACGGGATTCCTAGAGTTGCAGTAGTTCTGTTGGGTCATTTGGGATGTGTGTGCAAAATTTTAGGTCATTCGGATGTGGTTTGGTTGGTTTTTTTATCAAAAACGGAATTTAGAAGATTTTGAAAAGTTTGGCTCGAATCCGATGTGTTTGGGGTGATTTGATGTTGTTTGAGGTGTGTTGATGATTTGAACAAGTTTGAATAAGGTATTAGGATATGTTTGTGCTTTTGGTTGAGGTCCCGGGGGTCTCGGGGTGATTTCGGATGGTTAACAAAGAAGTTGGAAATTTGTGACAGCTGCTGAAGGTGCTGCTTCTGGTATTTCCGCACCTGCGGATTGGTGACCGCAGGTGCGATATGGGAGGTCGCAGAAGCGGAAAGTGCTGAGAGAGTCAGGAACATCAGAAGCGGCGAGTTGGACGGCATCTGCGATGTCGCAGATGCGGATGAGGGATCGTATAAGCGGAAAATAGTGAGTTAAGTGACTTCTGCAGAAGCGGAGAAATAACTACAAATGCGGTACCGCAGAAGCGGGTATTGGGCCGCAGATGCGAAAGTTCTGGGCAGAAAGTATAAAATGTGGCCTTCGCGAATTTTGAGCTATTTCACCATTTTTATCTTGGCTTTGGAGCTTTTTGGACGATTTGAGAGAGCGATTTCAAGGGAACTTCATTGAGATAAGGAATTTGGACCTAAAACTCGTTCCTATGCTATTATTTCACGGAGTAGAGCTACAAATTTTGGAAATTTAGGGTGAAAATTGGGGAAGCTAGGGCTTGAGAACTTAGACCTTTAATTGAGAATTTGAACGACCATTTGAGGTCGGATTTCAGAACTTTTGATATGTATGAACTCGTGGGGAGATAAGGAATCTATTACTGTAAAAATTATTGAATTCAGAGACATGAGCCCGGGGGTCGGGTTTTGGTAATTTCAAGATTTGTGTAGTATTTTGATTATTTTCGCTTGGGCTTCGTTCCCTTAGCATATTTTGACATCCTCATTCTGATTTTGGTTAGATTCGACGCAAGTGGAGGCCGCTTCGAGGGGCAAAGGTGTCGCGAGCTAGAGATTTGATCGGTTCGAGGTGAGTAGTGATTGTAAATGATGTTCTGAGGGTTTGAAACCCCAGATTGCACATCGTAATGCTATATTGAGGTGAGACACACTCTTGATGACGAGCATGGGGTCGTGCACTATTGGGCATTGTGACTTGGTCCGTCTTGATTGATGTTTTTACCACGTATTTAACTGAAATCTATTTGTTATCATCGTTATTTGGGCTGAATGCCATATTTGGGCCTTGTGCCAACTATTTGAACCCTTCAGGGCTTTTTATTAATATTTCCTCAATGTTTTAACTTTATACTTAACTCAGCTATGTTATTTTCCACTGTTTTTAAACTCAGCCATGTTTACTCAGTTTTAAGACTTAAATGATATTTTAAACGATGTTTGGGCTGAGAAACACTGTTTTACTATTGCCCGAAGTGCTGTGAGGATTTTTGACTGAGTAAGGTCGAGGGCCTATGTTGTGAGGAGACATTTGATACTGATTATGAGGCCAAGGGCCTGAGATATGTACGCCACAAGGTGACTTGATTGATAGGAGGCCGAAGGCCTAGTTTTGATGTCACGAGATGGCTTGTTATTGCGCTTGGGCCGTAAGGGGCCCCTCCAGGAGTCTGCACACCCTCAGTGAGCATGGGTACCCATTGTAATATGAGATTGAGCCCGGGGGCTGGTTTTGTTCTAATTTTTTTCCCGAGGGGCTGGTACTGTTCTGAGATGTTACCCGAGGGGTGGATTTGTTGATACTGTGCCCGAGGGGCAAGCCTTTATGTGTTTACTCTTCATAATTGATTGCCAATTACTTGCTTAAACATTTAAAAAGGGTTTTTCATGAAATTGCATTTGAGTTAAAGAATTCTACCTATCTTTCACTGATTTACTATTTTTAAATGGTTTTACTGCTTCATTATAGAATGCTTTGTGCCTTACGTGTTTTCTTGCTTTCAGTCTTTATTTACATTTGTTACTCACTGAGTTGGAGTACTCACATTACTCCCTGCACCCCTGTGTGCAGATTCAGTCGTTGTTGATCCTGCTAGTGCAAGTTGAGAGCTCCCGGCGAACATTCAGAGTTCACGAGGTAGCTGCTTGACGTCCGTAGACCCGTGTCTCTACTCCTTTATCACTTCTATATCTTTTCAGACATTTGTACTAGTTTATTGACTTAGCATATTTGTATTATGACTTATAGATGCTCATGAATAGTGACACCCCGGTTAGGGCTGTGTGGGGTTGAACTTCCGCATTTTTATGATATTACATGCTACTTAATATTATTAAATCAGGTTTTAGACTACTTTCTTGTTGTTTAACTGTTTAAAAGTGAACTAGGTTTAGTTGGTTGACCTTGTCTTTACAAGAGGTGTCATCACGACCGAGTTCGGGTTTAGGGTCGCGACACAGCTACAACTGCCATAACTTGTGTGCCACTCAGACTAGAGGTAGTTTCTCCTCCTTTTCTTTTCTTTGGAGGAGGTGCGGAGGCCGCCTTTGCTTTAGCTTGGGCAGTTGAAGTGGTCTTTCCTTTACTTGTGTCTTTTCTGGTAGGCATCTTCGTTCCTACACAAATAAGCAGTAGTCAGATAACACTATATTACACACTACACACATAATCTTTCCCAACTTGCCAAGGTTATAGACTCTACCTCGTATTTTCTTAATATTAGAGTAAAACCACAATATATGGGCTACCCATGAGCCACCCCACACTTAAGATTTTAATGTGGTGCACGACTACATAACACTAGTTTATTAATCTCGGAGACTCGGGCTCCAATAGGGACAAGGAATTCTATTGAGGCATTATATCAAACACTTAACAAGCACTAGTGCCATGGGAGTTCGTATGGAAATTAGGGATTGCCTCATCCTCCCAAATCGGCTTGGGGGTTCCGTATTACCACATGTTTTCACAAATACAGCACCATTCCTGTGGGGTTCATGGGGTTAGGGCACACAAACTCAATACTACAATGAAGAACAACCACGAACAATGAAGAAAAACCACCAACTTAATATCTGTACCCAACTCGAAATTACAAAGGAAAGAGATCAAATCATACCTTTGAAGCTTTTGAGAGGAGGGATCTGCCTGAGAATTTTTGATGAGTGTGAAAGAATGGAAAGACTAAGCTTGACTTCAATGGGGATGGGAGAGACAACTATGTCAATGTGTTGGGGAGTGTGTGTGGGTGAGCAAGCAAATCATGCAGTGTATTTGTGTTCTTGTGAATTTTCTTTTAGAGCTTGATGTGTGTTGGTTTAAGTGAGGTTAGGGTTTTATTTGTTTTGCGTTCAGTATTTTAAGGCATGTAGGTAAGGTTAAGTTTGACTAAAATAAGGAGAAAAAACTTAAAGTGGGTCGAAACACTTACCTGGCGTTATCCAGGTATCGCCAGCATAAGGCTTGGTTCAACCTGGCATTAACCAGGCGTCGCCGGCCTAAGTCCTAGTTGACCCTGGCGTTAGCCAAGCATCGCCAACCTAAGGCCTGGTTGAGCCTGGCTTTATCCTGGCTTCGCCAACCCCAACGCCTGGTGTACTTCAAGTGATGCTTAAACCTTGCTCGACTCGCCCAAACTCACCTGCAAACTTGTTAGTATCTAAAAACAAAAAGTAAAATTCTAACTACACTAAAAATCAACTACGAATTGGGTTGCCTCCTAACGAGCACCTTAGTTAATGTCGTGGCATGACGAATACAATAGTCCAATGGGTTGCCTCCCATGAAGCAACTGATTTGATGTCGCGGCACGACGCAGTAAGCGCATTTAAGGTATGCTCAACATCGGAGGCTCGATCAGATGAGTCACTGGCACTATCTTTGATTCATCCATGCCCACATAATGTTTTAATTTGTGCCCATTGACTCTGAACTTGCGAGAGTCATTTTCCACAGAAATCTCTATAGCACTAGTGGGATGAATTTCAACCACCAAAAATGGCCCTGACCATCTTGACTTTAATTTGCCCGGAAATAACCTCAGTCTTGAATTGTATAGCAATACCGTATCTCCGGGTTTAAAACTCTGCTCAATAATACTTTTATCATGTATCATCTTCATTCTCTCCTTGTATAATCTTGTTCTCTCAAAAGTGCAATATCGAAACTCATCAAGCTCGTGTAACTCCGTGACTCCACTTGTTCCCGCAGCTTCAATATCGAGATTTAACTGCCTCAACGCCCGCAAAGCTTTATGATCCAACTCCACCAGTAAGTGACACGCCTTACCAAACACCAACTTGTATGGAGACATGCCGATTAGAGTTTTGAAAGCGGTTCTATAAGCCCATAGTGCTTCATCTAACTTTCTCTCCCAATCCGTTCTAGTAGCATTCACAGTCTTATTCAACACACTCTTTATCTCTCTGTTCAAAACTTCCACTTGCCCGCTCGTTTGTGGATGATATGGGGTGGCAACCTTGTGGCGTACATCAAACTTCTCTAACAACTTCGCGAAGGCTTGATTACAAAAGTGAGTGCCTCTGTTACTGATTATTGCCTTTGGAATGCCAAACCGGGTGAATATGTTCTTTCTCAAAAAACCAATTACTCCCTTTGCATCATTTGTAGGGAGCGTTGTAGCCTCCACCCATTTAGACACGTAGCCCATAGAGACGAGTTTGTACTTGTTGCCATATGAGCTGATGAAAGGCCCCATGAAATCAATTCCCTATACATCAAACACTTCTACCTCCTGAATTGGGTTCATAGGCATCTCATGTCAGTGGGAAATATTCCCGGTTCGTTGGCATTCATCACAACCCTTTATCCATAAATATGCATCTTTGAACAATGTTGGCCGTAGAAGCCCAACTCCAAGACTCTCGCAGCTGTCCTTATTCCCCCGAAATGCCCACCATACGGTGACGCATGATATGCCTGTAAAATAGAAGACAAGTCTATCTTGGGGATACATATCCGGATCATGTTATCAATACAAATCCTGAACAGATAAGGCTCATCCCAATAATACATGTGACAATCACAAAAGAACTTTTTCTTTTGGACAAAGGAAAGGTCATAAGGAACAATACCGCTCGCCAGTTAGTTTGCAATGTCTGCATACCATGGAGTTTCCTCAAGACTTGTGGCTAATAGTTGTTCATCTTGGAAAGTTTCTAGAATCTATTCTACCTCAACCTTCTTCTCAGCTCCTTCCAGCCTAGACAAGTGATCAGCTACTTGGTTCTCCGTTCCCTTTCGGTCACACATTTCTAAATCAAATTCTTGCAGCTGTAGCACCCATCGAATCAGGCGCGGTTTTGACTCCTTCTTCTCGATTAAGTACCTGAGAGCAGCATGGTCAGTATAAACAATTACATTTGAGCCTATCAGGTATTACTTGGATTTGTCAAACGCGAACACCACTACCAGCATCTCCTTCTCGGTCACAGTGTAATTTAGCTGGGCTCCACTCAGCATTCTACTTCTGTAGTATATTGGATGCATGACTTTATCTTTTTGCTGCCCAATAACTGCTCCCACAACATAGTCACTCGCATCACACATCAACTCAAATGGTTGCTCCCAATCAGGGCCAACTATGATAGGTGTTGTTAACAGTCTCTTCTTCAATTCCTCAAACGCTACCCTGCAGTCATCAGAAACACAAAAGGGTGATCGTTTTCAAGCAATTTACACAAGGGGTTAGTAATTTTGGAAAAATCTTTTATAAATCTCCTATAGAAACCGGCGTGCCCAAGGAAACTTCTGATTGTTTTGACGGAAGTGGGTGGTGGAAGATTTTCTATCACATCAACCTTTGCATGATCTACCTTAATGCCTTTACTCGACACTAGGAGCCCCAAGACTATACCTTCATGTACCATGAAATGGCACATTTCCCAGTTGAGTATCATATTCGTCTCGATACACCACTTCAATACTCTTCTCAAGTTCATTAGGCAATCATTGAATGAGTTCCCCACCACTAAGAAGTAATCCATGAAAACCTCCATTATTTCCTCTACCATATCTGTGAAGATGGCCATCATGCACCTTTGGAATGTGGCAGGTGTATTGCATAGGCCAAACGACATTCTCCAAAAAGCATAGATTCCATAAGGCAGGTGAACGATGTTTTCTCTCTGTCCTTTGGGGCAATAGAGATCTAATTATACCCCGAGTACCCATCCAGAAAGCAGAAGTGGGACCTCCCTGCCAATCTATCCAGTATCTGATCAATGAATGGCAGTGAGAAATGGTCTTTCCAGGTAGCCAAGTTCAACTTCCTGTAATCCATACAGATTCGCCAACCTATGACTGTTCGTGTAGAGATTAATTCGTTCTTCTCATTTTTCACTAGTGCCATACATCCCCTTTTTGGCATATACTGAACTGGGCTGCCCTAGTTGCTATCACAGATGGGGAATATGATTCCTGTATCTAACCTCTTAATCACTTCTTTCTTCACCACTTCTTCATATTGGGGTTCAGCCTTCTTTGATGTTCTCTGGAAGGTTTGTACCCATCTTCCAGTAAAATCTTATGCTTACAAAAGAGCAGGCTGATAGCCTTAATGTCTGCAATGGTCCAACCAATTGCAGTATTGCACTCCGTTAGTACCTACAAAAGCTGTTCTACCTACACATCTAACAAACAAGATGAGATAATAACAGGTAACATTGAGTTAGGTCCTAAGAAGACATACCTAAGATGAAGTGGTTGTTGCTTCAGTTCCAACTTTGGCGGCTCTTCTATCAATGGCTTAGCTGGAGGAGTTTTTCTTTCCTCTAAGTGCAAAGGCTCAAATTTGACCTCCCTTCTCCAAAAACCTTGGCCTTCAAGAGCAAGTACCCACTCTGCCAAGTCTTCTCCATTGACTTCATCTAAGTTCATGAGATAGGCTGCTAGAGGGTCTTTAGTATTCAATGTCTCATCTTCCTCCTCCAAAATTACATCCACGACATCTATTAGAGAGCAATTAGCAAATACACTTGGTCGCCGCATAGATTTCTGCATGTTGAGTGTTATCTCTTCATCATTTAATCTCATTTTGAGCTCTCCAGTTTTACAGTCAATTAGAGCTCTTCCAGTGGCCAAGAATGGTCTTCCCAAAATAATGGGAATTTCCTCTTCAACCCGACAGTCAAGAATGAAAAAATATACTGGGAACACAAACTTCCCAACCTGTATTAATACATCATCAAGAATACCATAGTGCCTCTTCATTGTCCGGTCAGCCAACTGTAGTAACATGGACATGGGTCTAGCTCTTCCAATGCCCAACCTTTTGTAGATAGCCAGGGGCATCAGGTTTATGCTTGCCCCCAAGTCACACAGTGCCTTAGAAAATGCATAGTTCCCTATTGTGCATGGGATTGTGAAACTCCCTGGGTCAGACAGCTTCTCAGCTATAGGTCTCCTCATAGCAGCACTACATGTCTGAGTTAGTGTAACCATGGCCAAGTCTTGAAAGTCGAACTTACGAGACATCAAGTCCTTCATCATTTTTGCATAACCAGGCATTTCCTTTAAGGAGTCAATCAATGGGATATTTACCTGAATTTGCTTCAACATCTCCAAGAATTTCTTGTACTACTCATCTTTCTGATACTTGGCCAATCTTTGTGGGAATGGTGCTGGAAGTTGCTTCTTCCCTGTGATTTGATTTTTTTCTTGTTCAAGCACTGCTTCTACTATTGTTTCCTGTGCTACCTTAGTCTACCTTGCAACCTCTTTTTCTTTGTTGGTGTTCTCTTGTGCATTTTGTACCATCACCTCAGTTAACCCTATGGAATCATCTATCTCAATGGGTATTGGCACCAGTGTTTCAGTATGTCAGCTTTCACGAGCAATTTTTTGCTCCAGATCTAGGTCTCTACCATTTCGTAGACTCACTGCCATAAGTTGGTTCGGACCCTACTCCTTTGGATTAATTTGTGTGTCTGCAGGTAACGTCCCTTGGGGACAATTATTTAAAGCCATCGAAATCTGTCCTAATTGAATCTCAATATTCTTTATCACTGATTCATGTGAGTCTACTCTTTCAGTTATTATTCTAGTGGACCCAATAAATTGTTGCATTATCCCCTTAAGTTCAGCAAACCCATCATCGTGCCTCACAATCTGTTGTTGTTGAGGTTGTTGATAACCCTGCTGCTGATTTTGCTGGTTGTAACCTTGTTGCCTTTGGTAAGGCACCACTTGACCATGTGATTGCATAGCACCAAGATTGTTGTTGTTGTTGTTGTACTGCTGCTGAGCTGGTCTATATTGTTGATTCTGCTAACCCTAATTCTGACCACCTTGCCTTTGTCCCCCATAATTGGCCATTTAGTTCATAATTTCCTGATATTTCTGGTTGTCACCATCCGCATTCCACAAGAAAGCATATGGTTGGTTAATGCATGGTATAAATAATCCCCCATTAGTTGCATCATTCTGGCCTGATTCATCAATCTTTTTGGTGAGGATACTCATTTATGTCACTAGGGTGGCCATATTTTCAACTATGGAGTAAGTTAGGTCTAAAACCACTGAGTGAACTACATGAGTGATTGGAGAGTCTCTTGTCATCCATCCTGAGTTTTGCGCCATCTTGTCAAGTAGGATCTTTCTTTCTCTGAATGTTTTGCTCAAAAATGCTGTTACATCTCGCGTTTTTGTACTTTAAAGTTTCGTGTTTCGTTAATTGACGTAGACTCGGGGATGAGATTATCTTGAGGTTAACGTATTTATGTTAATTATAACAAGCAATAAATAAGTGTCAAGAAGGATAAAGGGTACACGAATTAAAGAAAACGAGTTTCGTTGAAAGTGGTCAATTTGGGATAAAATGTGGGTCGAGCGATAATACCCCATAATTATGGACTAGTACCATACAATGTACCATATGGTAGTGATAGTATGATATATAAAGTATATTAAAAATAAGTAGAATTTTAAGTAATTTGAGGTAATTTTTAAATTATGCGGGTAATTGGTTAATTATCGGGTAACAGAACCTTACTCAGTTAACTAATAAATGGATAAAAATTAATAAGTTACACCCCCCCCCAAAATGTGGCAAGAAGCCACAAATCTAGAAAATAACTACGTAGTCATATAGTCCTAGGTGGCTATCTAGGAATTATTGGAATTTAATAAGTAAAAGATCTTGTTCCATTCATTTGGACAAGAAAGAACCAAAAACATCCCTAAATCCTAAAGTAAGAGATACTCTATTTCCTAGTTCAAAATGCTTCAAAAGGTAGAAGCTTAATTCGTTCCTAATCCTTCAGAGAACAGAAGCTTGATTCGTTCAAGACTTCA